AATATAATGTGGGTATATTTATAATTTCTATTTCATCATAATTTCACCCATTTGGTATGTTCATTGGATTATGATATAGAAGAATAATTTGGATATCTTGTAAGGATGGATTAGGACGTTTTAGCTTCTAATTACCCTATCTACCTACCAACTACCACATACATACCACACTAACAACAACAATAATCATTGGTATTAAGTATTAACATTAGGGGTGAGCAAAATGATCGAAAAACCAAAAATCCGAACCCAAAACCGAAAAAAAAGTGCCGATATGAATCGTCCCAACTTAAAAACCGTATGTACGGTAAAAACAAATTCTAAAAAACCAAAAAAATTGGTTTGTATACAGTGAATCCAGATTGATACCGAATCGATTAGAGGGTAAAATCGACGCTATTTTGATGTCTTGTATAAATAATTGATTTCCCCTAATTTCTCACCATCCTTTCACTACATATTGCAAAATACTTGATTGTAATTTCATTTTCTTTGGACTTTGTAGCAGGTTAATTTGTTTTTATTTTATTTTATTTTACTGCAGGATTTTACTGCAGGTTAATTATTACTTGTTAATCCTGAAACAAGTGGGCTGAAAAACCCAAATTTCATAGGTAATCAAACATCGGTTTTGTGCCGAACCAATTCGAACCGAAAGGCAAAATCGGAACCGAAAATATACCGAAATCGTAAACCGAAAACCGAAACCGAAAAACCGATTAGCACTGGACCCGAAAAAAATAACCCTCTAAAAAACCGAAATTATCATTACATGTTCGGTTTTTTCTCAAAAACCGAGCCGTACTGATCCATGCACACCCCTAATCAACAAAGCTAAACGACCAAAATCCAACTTAGCACATCGATCGGTACAACACATGATTTCTTCGAGTTCCGTAATTTTGCTTCCGATAGGTCAAGAAAAAGATCGAAACACCATGTTTCAATGGACTTTCAACGACTTCCAAAAACGAATTTTATCGCTCGAAACAGAAAAAAAAAAAAATATTGTTCTTTTTGCTAATTATCATGTATCCCTAGGGACTATAATCTAATTTCCAAATATTTAAGGGAAAGATAATCAATGAAAAAAGGTTTTGTAGTTTAATTTGCAGAAATGAGAGAATCACATGCATAATCAACAAGAAGAGGCCCCCTTTGGCCCTTAGTACACAACCGTTAATCCTTGATCAGAAATATGAATTTATGGACCCCCCACGTGGCCATGCATGCATGCTTAGATCTGCTGATTTTATTTGTAACCCTGAAATAAATACTTTACTACAGAAGAAGTGATTTTCTAGTTAGGGTTAAGAGAGGAAAAGGTTTCTCTGACAGATTCCCAACTTAGATAACAAGGACAAGATCCCCTGCTTTTTTTTGAGGCTCCACCACATCATCTCTGAAAGTGATTTTTCTAACCAATTTTTTTATAGCATTTTAAAAATAAAAATAAAAATAAAAATAAATTTGAGGGTAAATAATTTATAATTTAGTTAAAGATTTGTTTGAATTAGGGTTCGTTCCTTCCTGTGATTCCATGGATTCCGTAGAATGTTCTCTAGTTTGTATTCTTTTTCGTAAAAATACAGTTTTTGATGCACCACAATCTGATACTTACAAGCCAAGAGATGCATCTTATGATCATCTTATTTCAAAGTGTGAAGCTCTATCGAATAAAACGGGTACAAACTGGATAATATTCCAAATAATTTAAAGGATCCCATTAAATTTGACACCGCAGAAATTGAACGTGTGAAAAGATTCATAATTGAACAGGTAATTATAATTATAACCCAAAAAGAATGGACATTTTTGTAATTTGACCTTACCTCCAGGGGTAGCCGTAATTTATCCCTAAAATGAAATTATTCCTATTATAATTTTATTCAAATGAAACACTACATCAATCCCTAGAATTTGCAGTTCAAAGAAACAAAAGTACATTATTATATTTTGTTATATAAGTCGAGCCAAGTATTTATTTATTTATATACAACACATGTTGCTCCAAAGGGTACACACAAAGCTCACCACACCATACATACATATATAGCTACATTGAAACTGATCAACCGTACAAGTCGTCGTCGTCGTCCACCGACCCACCCCCCGCAGACGAAAACGGGTCGACCCGCCCAGCAGCTGAAGTATCCGCCCGATCCGCAAACCGGAATTCGGACCCGATACCACGAGACTGCTGGAGCGTCTGTGCAAAGAGCTGGTACTTTCTAATATCGGCATCACTCACACTCCTCCGAGCAAATTTCATCGACTCCTCGAAGTGGGCCGCCTTTATCTCCGGTACATGGTCCACGTCATCTTCTTCCATAGCCTCCGGACTCTCTCTCTTCTTTTTTTCTTTCTCGATATCCTTTCAGTGGATTTCAATTCACCACAATATAATTATAAAAAAAAAAGTTAATTTGAGAACTAATTTGCATGAAAACAAATTAAACCAACAAAATGAAAATAATAAGGGTAAATTACAACCACCACGAGGTATGGTCAATTTACGAAAAAACCCCTCTTGTTTGGATAATTACATCTACCCCAACTATGATTTTTTCTTACACTTGCACCCTTATGGTGTCAAATTCAACATAATCATCTAGACTTCGTGGAATGTGCTCTAATTTGTACTCATTTTGTGTAAAAATACAGTTTCTAATGCACAATCAGTTTCTAATGCACAATCTGATATATACAAGCCAAAAAACACATATCATGATCATCTTGCTTCAAATGTGGAGTTTGAATGGAATAAAATGGGTACAAAAGTATGCCATATAATCTAGAAGATTCCACTAAATTTGAAACCGCATGGATGGACGTGTAAGAATATTTATAGTTGAGGGGTGGTTGTAATTACCCAAACATGAGGGGGATTTTCGTAATTTAACCATACCTCAGGAGTTGGTTGTAATTTACCCAAAAAATAAGTAATTAAGTAAATAAAAATTACCTTTTCGATATCTTCTCGGATGGCAAACTTGCAAGCACGTTGGCATATCTCGGTGATATCGGCACCACTAAATCCATGCGTGTGTCTCGCAAGAGCTGTTAGATCGACTTCTTTAGCCAATGGAGACTTCCTCAGACAAGCTTTGAATATTTGAAGGCGAGAAGTTTCATCGGGAAGCGGGATGTAAATCAACTGGTCCAAACGGCCTGGCCTAAGCAAAGCAGGGTCGATAATATCCGGTCTATTTGTTGCACCTATAATAAAAACCGTCTTTTTCGCCGTCATTCCATCCATTTCCGTAAGAAGTTGATTGAGAACTCTATCTGCGGCCCCACCCGCATCTCCCACCGAACTTCCTCTCTACGAAGGAGAAATCGAAACGGGAAATGAAATCACTTTCATTAGTAATAAAATTATAAAAAATTGGGTGTTAATTGTGATTTCCCGATAACGCCCTTGATTCAGCAATAATTAAAATCGATCTTGCGTTAGTACGAATCTTGTCCATCGGACACGTTAGTAAAGCCCAACTGTCTAATCAATTGTTATAAATACCTGAGTGGCAATTGAATCGAGTTCGTCGAAGAAGAGCACGCACGGAGCCGATTGTCGGGCCTTGTCGAAAATTTCTCGAACGTTCGCCTCGCTCTCTCCGAACCACATAGTGAGCAACTCGGGACCTTTCACACTTATGAAATTGGCTTGGCACTCGTTAGCAATTGCTTTTGCCAGTAAAGTTTTGCCACAACCAGGCGGCCCGTAAAACAAAACCCCTTTCGAAGGCGACATTCCGAATTTCTCGAACTTCTCCGGATGCTCAACAGGATATTGTACAGTCTGTTCAAAATCCCATTTTCATTTTTTTTTTGCAGAATTGAACTCGATAAATATATTAGTTAGAAGAGAATATACCTCTTGAAGCTCTCGTTTGACATTGTCCAATCCGCCGATATCCTGCCACGAAACATTGGGAACCTCCACAACCTGCCAAAAATCGAGAGGTTTGAGTTTTTTTTTTTCATGAATTTTCAAGAAGAATAACTAGCAAATTAAAAAAAAATATCACGACGATTTTAGTGATATTGTTTACTGTTTCACGTAAGGCCGATGGATTTGAGGCGCCCAATGCGGTTATGAAGTGTTCGTTTGTCACGGCCATTGAATTCAATACTTCAGCATCAATTGTCTCGTCTTCCAAGTCGATTACATCCATTTTCTCTCTGATGCATTGAAGAGCAGCTTCGGTGCAAAGGGCCGCCAGATCAGCACCGACGTAACCGTGTGTATCTTTGCCAACTCTTTCAAGATCAACCTGTTAAAAAACAAGAAATTGAAAAAAAAAAAAAGATGAATCTAACTCATTGTTTTGCTAATATTAGTAACACGGGATACTAAAAATGCAGTAAATTCGAAAATATTACGACGTTCAACGAAATGAGGAAGCAATATTATACGAACTCACATCGTCCGCAAGTTTCATATTCTTGGTATGAATACGCAACACTTCAAGCCTCCCGACTTCATCCGGCACACCAATATCAATTTCCCGATCGAACCTCCCGAACCTCCTCAAAGCCGGATCGATACTATTTGGTCTATTAGTAGCCCCCATAACAATGACATGTGCGCGCGACTTAAGCCCGTCCATCAACGTAAGAAGCTGAGAAACGATCCTCCTCTCCACCTCACCGTGCGTCTTCTCTCTCTTCGGAGCAATCGAATCCAACTCGTCGATAAAAATAATCGAGGGTGCGTTCTTCTCCGCCTCCTCAAACGCCTTCCTCAAGTTGCTCTCGCTCTCTCCCGCCAATTTCGACATTATTTCCGGCCCGTTGATCAAAAAGAAAAATGCACCTGTTTTGGCAAACAAGGTTTTAACGAGGCCCCATTTGTACTTGCCAAATTCCATCAATCAAGCTTTACTTTCTCGCCAAGAAAAAAAAAAAAGCGCACCCGTTTCGTTTGCAACGGCTTTTGCGATTAGGGTTTTACCCGAACCGGGGGGCCCGTAGAGAAGGATTCCTTTTGGGGGTTTCACGCCGATGGATTTGAAGAGTTGAGGGTGTCTTAAAGGGAGCTCGACTAGCTCACGGATCTGAGCCATTTGCTTTCTTACACCGCCGACATCATCGTACCTTGTTAATATACGGTACCGATTATTTATATTCACATCTAATCAAACCGCTATAATTATGGATATATATTAACAGTACCCGACTTCGTTGAGTCTTTCTTCATCTTCGCGGTTGATTGGCTCTCCCTCGCAGAATATTTCGGTGTCGGGGGCAACTACGCAGTATTCGCCGGGGTCGGTTTCGACGATTTTGAATTCGACGCTTCGCATGCCGCCTCGAACTTGGAAGAGATCGCCTTTTCTCACCGGACGGTACGCGTCCATGAAATAAGCTTTGATTTATTTGCGACAACAAAAAAGAATATGCATTATAGACAGATTTTTGCATAGACTTCTTTAGCAATTCGATATAACACAAATGCACTAAACAAAATTTCAAAAAAAAAAAAAACACGGGAATTTGGCGAATTTGGCAAATCGATCGAAAAAAAAAACAGATGCAAGGAAAATATAATATAGTCTTACGCTTTAAATAAGCATCGAATAAGTTGCCGGTGAGACCCTCGATCGAGTCATCAATGGGAAGTATATGAACACGCTTTCCGTATTTGACATCCGGACATTGATGCACGGACACCATATCGGTTAGACGTACTCTCAGATTTGCTCGGACGACTTTATTCATTCTTATTTTTTGCTCTTCGCATTGTTCATCGGCAAGAACAATGCAAACCGTGTCTTTTCGTCTTTTCCCCTGTTACCAACAAATAAATAATTTCAAACCTCGTGCTCCAAATTTAATAAAAACGGAAATTAATCGTATCGTGTGAAAAAATTAACCCTGATCAAGATAGTATCTCCTCGAAAGAGCTGAAGTTCTTCCATTTTGGTTGGATGCATCGAGACCACTGAATTGTCGTCGTTAATGGATTCGTCCACAATGAGTCGATTAGGGGATTTTTTCCGTTCCAGTATCACTGTGGAATAGTCCCGTTTGCTACTCTTCCTGGATTTCAACAATTCAATTTTTTTCAGCAAAATCAACTTCTAATATATACGGCTACACTAAAAGATAAAGTTCAATTACGAAAAACCCCTCATGTTTAGTTAATTACAACCACCCCTCAACTATGAATCTTCTTACACGTCCACCCTTGCGGTGTCAAATTTAGTAGTATATTCTAGATTATGTAGAATATTCTCCAGTATGTACCCATTTTATCTCATTCGAGTTATACATTTTGAAACAAGATCGAATCATAAGATGTGCTTCTTGTCTTGTCTTGTAAATATCAGAAACTGCATTTTTGCGTTTTATGCATAAAACGAGTATAAAACGAGTATAAACTAGAGAACATTCTACGGAATTTAGAAGATTCTTTTTAATTTGACATCCTAAGATAAGAATGTAAGTGTAAGAGATTCATAGACGAGGGGTGATGCAATCGTCAGTTGGTTTTTTTCGTAATTAGACCTTATCTAGAGGTTGCCATAATTTACCATATATATATGTAAAAGAATCCCAAGAAAACCAACAAAAAAAAATTAAAAAAAATCAACAATACATATAACATCAAACATGAAAAAGGGGACCTTGAATTTTGAAACTTTCAAACAAGTTGGTGAATTAAAATCAGCAACCATGAGAGAAAAAAAAAATTATTAAAAAAGTCAACGAGAGGAAAAATGAAAACTCACGAGTCGGTGGTGTGAGCAGAGCTTGGATCAGCCATGGCGGTTGTCGGAAAGTAGTAGAACTCCGAGGTTTTGCACTTTGCTTATTATTATTATTATTATTATTATTATTATTATTATTATTATGCCTGAGAACTTTGTAGTGTTTTTTTTGCTGCTTGTAGCGGTGCTTCGTATGGGGTTTTTCGACACGTCATTTTTTGTACGAGGAAGAAAAGGAGAGTGAACCGACTTGTACTAGAAAATCTTTGACAGGAAATTATTCAGTGAATTGACTGTTTTAGCCCTCGCTAAATCCCATTTTCCATTTTTTTATTTAAATTTTAGCCTTCCAGTACATAATTCGAAGGTTTTGACACGTGGCGGCTTAAGGAGCCGATCGATTGTTGTAGCTCGGCGTCGTCGGCTTGTAGTTGTAGCTAATGTTGATTAAACTACAAATAACACCATATTTATTAGCTAATAAAAGTGGGCCAATACAATAAAAATCTAATATATTAAGGAAAAATTTACACTAAATTTGTATTTATTTTATCATAGAAAATTACCATGTTTTTTTATTCTTGATTGTATGATATTTTTTTTAATGAAAGAACCAGCAACCAATCATAAAGGTGCACTGATAGCTTGCAAATCATTCGAGAGATGTTAACCATGTATCACAAGCTTTATATAGCGACTGTTTGCAAGGGGATTCGAACTTGTGTGAATTAATATCTTTTTTTTTTTGTTTAATTATATAAGAGAATTTTGTGCACTGATGTCATGGAGTTTTATTTAGCTAATAAAAGTAGGAGAGAAGGACTTTTATGAAAATAAAAAAATAATTGTGTCCTTCATGCTAATAACATTATATTCAATGGACCTTTTGGCAAATTGAATTCCCTTAGTTTGAAGCATCAAATTTGCTTCCCTTTTTAAGGCAAAGAAAATAGAGTCACAATTACAACGAGAGGCTGATTCCGTTTGAAACAATTTACACTAATGCCGGAAAATTCGCTTAAGCAACATGCGCGTGAAAGAAAACAAAAACTTCTACTGCACTTCACCTAAGCCATTTATCCACCGTTAGCCTCTCTCTCTCTCTCTCTCTCTCTCTCTCTCTCTCTCTCTCACACACACACACACACACACACACAACTGACACAAGTAATTCGGTTGTCACTTGTCACAGTTCAGAATTAAAGAGTTAAATTCAACCCTGAAAGCACGACTGCAAACTGTTCGACGAAATGTCGCACTGGCTTACACTCCGTCCTGCTCCAGTTCAATATTTCAGGACAGTGTCAATTCAATCGAAGAAACCCGCCAAGAACTTCAATCTCAGCATTCGTAGTTGTTCTTCCGATCCCGAAAATAAATACAAGGTACCCCCTTTCAGTATTTGCTCTGCACTTTGTTAATTTTCATTGCCGGAATTTCCGCATTTCTTGTAGCAAGTGTTGATGGTATGTTTCACGCAGTTCTTGTTTGATTAGTTTAGAACTCTGGTTAAAGTTTCGAAGTCGAATCGGCATATTTAATTTACTGCAATTGTAATTGAGCTGATTTAGATTGATGGATAATTGGTTGAATTTGTTGACATTAATTAATTGGATGTTTTCTTGTTGCAGTTAATAGCAGAAGTTAAAGAGAAGCTCGGCAAAGAACATAGTACGCTCCCATTGGGCAAATACGGACGAGATGACGAAGAGATGATTATGTGGTATCTGAAGGATCGGAAATATTCTGTCAAAGATGCCGTCTCGAAATTGAGTAAAGCAATTGTAATTACAAGCTATAACTTTACAGCCTCGAATCTTGATGCTACTTTTTTTTTTTCCGTTATTGCTTATGGAGATTTTCTTTTATGGTGGCAAAAAAATCGAGTTCCTTTAATATCGAAAATACGTTTTGATGACTTATTTACGCTGAATTTTCGTTTTTTTTTTCTTTTTCTTTTTCCCTGAACAGAGATGGCGTCATGAATTTGGTGTATCTGAATTGTCAGAAGAATCGATAAAAAATGTAGCCGAAACGAGAAAGGCTTATGTACACGACTTTCTTGATGTAAATGGCAGACCAGTGTTGATAGTGGACGCGTCGAAGCATATTCCAGGGGTATATTCTACGACTGCCTAGTGTCTCTGTTATATACTTATTAAATTGTTCCTTCATAAGTCGAGCAGAAAATTATTTGAATTCGAAAATACTCAAAATGGGATTGTCGCGCACAATTGTAGTATGTATCAATCAAAATAATATCTATCGGCCAATTTGTGGTGCTGGTTAATCGAATTATTAATTAGCCCAACGCGCTTATCAATCATCGACAATTTTGATGAAAATTATGGCTAGTTCTTTCTATATAAAAATTTTGCATTAGCTGTAAGCTTTGTTTCGAATATATAAATTTGGTCGCTGATAATATATCGGAAATGTATATTAATACAGCAATTCGAACAATATGAAGATGAGAAGCTCTGTATATTTATGATCGAGAAGGCACTAAGCAAACTTCCATCTGGAAAGCAGGAAATACTTGCCGTAATTGATCTCCGAGGATTTCGGACGCAAAATGCCGATATTAAGTTCTTAACTTTTGTGGTAAAATTCCTAAAAATATTTATGAAATTATATTCTTTCGCACTTTTGTAAATCTTCGTTTCTTTTTTTTTTCTTTCTAAATTACCCTTTTTTGGTATGCAGTTTGACGCATTATACTATTATTACCCGAGGAGATTGAGTCAAGTCCTTTTCGTGGATGCGCCGTTTATATACAGACCAGTTTGGGAGCTGATTAAGCCGTTGGTGAAATCGTATGCCTCACTGGTAAGCATTACTTTTCAGACAACAATTAAGATTAATTTTCTTGTGTGTTTCGTTTAGTTTCGAGACTGCATATGCTTATAACATTCCTCGATTTTTCGTTTAATTTGCAATGTGTTTTGTAAGGTGAGATTTTGCTCCGCGAAGACTGTCAAAGAGGAGTATTTTGCAGCAGATACTGTTCCACCTAACTTCAAGTAATGAAACAGACGGGCTTTTTAGTTCTTTGAAATATGAAATCGAGAGATATTCAGCACGGCTTTTTTGCCGATGGAAAATACGACTTACTGTTGCATATATGTTCGTTATACTTCGGTTATCGTCTGTCTGTATCTTTGCCTTTACCTGTTTTTGGCAGAGACAGGTAAAGCTTGTACATTCGACAATATGCAAGCTTCGCATCAACACAATATAAAAATTAGAAATTATTATTTCTAACTGAAATATAAAATAAAAATGTTATTTCTCTCACTTTTTTTTTTCTACAAATCTATTTGCAAAATATCAGTTATCAACACTCATGAAAAAAGTTGAATGACTCACCATTTTGAAGAAACGATATTATTGTAGAGTCATGGATCATTACAGTGAAGAACGAACATCAAGAAGTAACGGACGGCGTCCATGAACGCCATATTTGTCGTCCCACTTCTTTTTTAATGTGTTTGCACATTTCTCAGCCATAGGGTTGCAGTCAACTAAATCAATCTTTTCAAGAAATCTTCCGAATGTGAGAGGGATCTCTTTTAACTTGTAGCAATGTAAGATTTTAATAGAATATATCATAGGGAGGCATGAATTCTCCGATGCCACAAACTTCCATTGCTCCAGATCAGTGTCTTCAATATGAAGATGTGAAAGCTTTTGGAATTCGTTGTCACGAACTTCCCACTTTGGCCCTCGAAAGGCATAGCATTCCAACAAGAGAAATACAAGATTTGGCAATGAAGAAATCTTTCTCAATTCTTCCCACGGATATCCCAAGCCTTTCAAAATTAACTTTGTTAGACTTGACGGGAAGTCTGAAAGAGGAACAAATGGGGCAATTACAACCTCAGCCTTGAATATCGGATTCACAACGACACATTTTAGTAATGTTAGTCGACGGAGACATGAAATATGATCAAAGCAACTCAAGGGTTCAAAAGCATCAAGAGCCAATTCGATTTGAATATCCAAAATTTCTAGATTAGGGATTCTTTCAAGAACATCTTTGTTACAACTTTGATGAGTTGCACGAGTAAGTTCTAAGAGGTTTGGTAAAACAGATCCTTCGTCACAAGGATGTGGTAGGTCTCTTCCCGTAGTTTGAAGATACTTCAATTCTTTCATATTCCATATTTCAATAGGCAATAAATTCCCACAAGATTTTACGATGCTTAGATGTCGATCAACAATCAAGCACTGAAGGTTCAAGAGTTTGGAAATGGAAGGAGGGAGGTTTCCATTGTAAACGAGGGCAAGGTATCTTAGTTGTACTAGTTTCATCACTTCCATTGGGAACTCATAGAATCTGATACTACGAGCGTGAAATACCCTGAGCAGCCTTAAATCGTCCAAACACAATGGTACTGGATATTGATGATATGGACCGGTACATAGGAGAGAGCGTACCTTTGAAGCAGATGCAATTGAGTCTTGCACATCTTCGATGGCAAATAAAACACTATTGCGAATGCACAATCGACGCTGGTATTTTATACCTTCTTCTTGTAAAGCATCAGCACAAAAATTCAAGGCATAGTAAAAATTGTTCTTGGGAGCTTCTTTGTTACACAAGTACCAAAATGATGAAAGAAGGTGAAAACCGCGTTCTTCTTTGGCGCTCATGATAACATTTTTAAAACAAAGCTCATTCAAATATCCATAGCTATTATTTTCGAAAGTCGCGATTGGGTCTGAGCAATGAATTGGTCTGGGGTTAAGAAATCCTTCAGCACCACACAAGTTGACCATTTGGTATCCATACACTGAATAATTTTGTGGGAAAGCTCCAAGGTAGAGAAAGAATGCTTTTAAATGTTGTTCTAAGTAGTCATAGCTTGGATATAGTACCTTTGACATTTGATCATATGCATCCTTGTAGACTGAATTTTGTTTATCATCTGCTTACTCGTTCCAGTACTCTATTGTCTTGTCAGCTTTTGACAGGATATTGGCAACCGTGATGATTGTAAGAGGAAGTCCTTCACAATTCTCGGCAATCTTCTTTCCAGCTTTCTCAAGTCCATAAGAGCACGGTTCTTCTTCACCAAACACCTTGTGACGAAGAAGTTCCCAACTTTCTTTCTTATCCAAGAAGCGTAAATTGTAATCCCTCCACAAACTAGCACAATAACCTACTTCTTCAGTCCTAGTCGTCAGCAGCACTCGACTTCCGTTATTGTCGTCTAGAAAGAATTCCGTCAAGTCAAAATAGAGCTCAACGTCCCATAAATCATCCAGCACAATCAAGTATCTCAAAAACCTTAAACTTTTGAACACCATCCGTTTCAACTCGACTAATAATTTTGCCCCTTTCATAAGCAATACTATTTCATCAATGTCAAGATTATTCAATTGTGTCAGAATATCCACCAAGATGTCCGTTAGTCGATATTTAGGGCCTATATGGTTACGAATACATGTCTGGTGTAACAACCGAAAATGGATGGATCTTGAAAGAGTTTCTTGGCAAGAGTGGTCTTACCAATGCCCGCCATCCCGACCAACGAGACAGTCAATATCCCTTCAGATTGTGAGGAATTTTCTCCAAACAGATCTTTGATTTCAGTAAATAGATCAGATATTCCTACCATGTTATAATCATCATTTCCGCCAAAATCAATTCTTGACGACGGGCCCACACAATCATCTTCTTCCGGCGAGGGGTTGCATAACTCATGAATTTAGGCCTTCTTCATCCTTTCGACAAAGGAATCGACATCTTGCTGCTTTATTTCTTGAAGGTCTAATGAGAATAACATTAATGGAGGATCACCGGTCTCTTCTTCAGATTGTGAATAGAACTGATTTGCGAGATGGGAGTCAAATACATCTTCGAATTCGTATATTGCCTCTATGATTTCTGCCTCCAAAGTTTTGACACTGCATATGCTTATACAGTCGTTTTCATTTTTCTTTTCGATTTTGACGTACTTCATTAATTTGCAATGTGATATTTTGCGAGAAATTGAATGACTAACCTTTTGAAGAAAGCAATTTGCCGTAGATTTACTACAACCTCTGTCTTCAATATGGATTATGGAATTCACAGTGACACATTCTAGTACTTTTAGATCTTGTTTGGTTGGGAGATTAGCCATGATTAACTAAAAGGGTAAATTACGGTCACCCCTGAAATATGGTTAAATTATAAAAAACTCCATCTTATTTGGGTAATTACAACCACCCCATTAAGTATGAATCTTCTTACACATTTATCCTTATGGTATCAAATTCAACAGAATCTTCTAGGTTCTGTGAAGTGTTCTCTAGTTTGTACTAGTTTTGTACAAAAATGCAGTTTCGGATGCACCATAATCTGATAGTTACATGTCAAGAAACACATCTTTTATGATCATCTTGTTTCAAAATGTGGAGCTCGATCGAATATATTAAAAATGATACAAACTGGAGAATATTCCACATAATCTAGAAGATGACACTAAATTTGACACCACAAAGATGGACATGTAAAAAGATTCATATTTGAGGGGTGGTTGTAATTACCAAAACAAGAGAGGTTTTTTTGTAATTTATCCATACCTGAGGGGGTGGCTGTAATTTACCCTTAACTAAATAATGCGACTTTGTTTGATGTTCGGTATCCCCAATAACTTACCATGGTCGACTTGCAAATATTATATTATCTCGTCTTTTAGGCATGTTTTTTATTGGATTTTCAAATGTCCAATAATACAATTGAGTTTCATTAGATATTTCTATTTGGATTGCTAGAACCTCTAGACTAGGGATTCTTTCAAAAACATCTTTGGGGATAATTACACTTTTCGTCCATATACTATACCACTTATTCGATTTTCGTCCCTAAACAAGATGAAGTTACAATTTACGTACCTATAAATGTTAATTTTATGTTGTTTTTGTTCCTCCATCCATTTGTCCAGTTAGTATGGACGGAAAATAGCATGTGCACCGCACATGACACAAAAAAATACCCTATTCACGTAAAGTTTTAAGAGGAATTTCATTAATACGCAAAAGACACCCCCCATTTCTCTTTTTGTTTGATGTTTGATATTGTGTTTCGAGGCTGCATATGCTTATAACATTCCTCGATTTTCTTTTCATTTGCAATGTGTTTTCTAGAGTATTTTACACCTAACTTGAAGTATGAAACAGCGGGATTTTTTTTTAAGTTCTTTGAAATATGAAATCGAGAGACTCAACACGGCTTTTTTCCGATAGAAAATAGGACTTACTGTTGCATATATGTTCTTTATACTTCGGTAATCGTATGTATGTAACTATGTCTGCTTTACCTGTTTTTGGCAGAGACGGGTAAAACTTGTACATTCGACAATCTGTGCGACACATGTGCACTTTCTTAATTGCGCAATAGTATTAATTTTAACCTCACAACATATAACTGATGAGGATGTAATAAACATTCAATCAAGAAAAATTAAACACACCAAATAACATTAACAAAATATCCAAAAACGCTTTGATTTGTCCGTCTCAAAACTGAAAGTACGTTCCTCCGATTCCTTGATGCAAACAATGTCGATGTAATTTCTCTCGTGATCAATCAGCCTACGGCTCTCGAGACGATACACCTGTAATAAAGGAGAATGTTCAATGATTTCGGATGTTATTTTTTTTTAATCCATAATAGCAAATTCATTGATCAGTAATCAAATAAATTAATTTGTAATATGATAAAGGGTAAATTACGAAAACCTCCCTGAACTTAGGTTAAATAACGAAAAACACCCCCTCCTATCCGTAATAACCGAAATCCCCCTCTAACTGTTAATAGAGTTTTAAATACCTTCTATTAAATAGGTGAGAAATAAAAGAAAATATATTAAATTGTGTAAAGTCTATTTCTGGGATGCAAAAAAATCCGTGAAAACTCACACTGTAAAAGGTTGGTGTAAGACATAAACAAACCTCAGTGGTTTTTGGTAATTACGAATATGTGGGTTTTTTTTTCGTTATTTAGCCTAAGTTTAGGGAGTTTTCGTATATTTACCCTATAATAAAATCTATCTCTATTGTAGCCAATTCAAACTGTTTCATCCAAACGCAACTTATATCATCCTATTATATGTGTAATCAACCATATATCTATATTGTCTCTTTATAGTTGTTTTGTTGGAGAATGTATGCATACATATTCAGTATATCTTTGGTAATATTCACTGTATGATTAAATTATAATAAAAGAAAAATATATTAACTCAAAATTAATGCTAACAAATTTAAGGTTGCTTAATTCCTTTTACCTGAATGGGGATTGACTAAAATATTAGTATTTTCGATAGATATAAAAATTTAACGACTAACCTTTTGAAGAATCAATGATATGGTAGAGTCGGTCACGGCTTGGTGTTCCCATTGTTACAGTGAAGAACGAACATCAAGACGTAGCAAACGTTCACGACCAGCATATTTATCGTCCCACTCCTCTTTTAACTTGATTGCACAATTCACAGCCATAGGGTTGCATTCGACTACTTTAATGCGTAGAAGAGATTTACCAAATGTGAGAGGGATCTCTTTTAACTTGTAGCAATGTGCGATGTGAAGGTTCGCAATCACAGGGAGGCAATGACAATTTTGAAATGTCCATTGCTCCAGATCGATGTCTTCAATCTCAAGAGATTCAAGCCTTTGGAATTCGTTGTCACGAACCTCCCATTTTGGGCCTCGAAAGGCATAGCATTCCAGGAAGAGATGTTTAAGATTTGGCAATGAAGAAATCTTTCTCATTTCTTCCCACGGATAACCTAAGCCGCTCAAAGTTAACCATCTAAGACTTGATGGGAAGTCCGAAAGAGGAACAAGTGGCGTAACAACCTCTGTCTTCAATGTAGGATTCATAATGTAACACCCTAGTTCTTGTAGTTGTTGGAGATGGGAAATGTGATCAAAGCATGTCAAGGGCTCTGTAGCATCAGGAGCCAGCTCGATATCAATCGTTAACACCTTCAAATTAGGGATTTTTTCGAGCACAGATTTGGCACAACTTTGAGGACCGACACCACTTAGTTTTAAGAGGTTTGGTAGGAGAGATCCTTCACAACAAGGATGTGGTAGCTCTCTTCCGCCGGTGTGAAGAGACTTCAATTCATTCATATTCCATATCTCAATAGGCAGATACAATAGATTCCCAACAGATTTTACTATTCTTAGATGTCGAACAACAATCAAGTATTGAAGGTTCCAGAGTTTGGAAATGGAAGAAGGGAGGTTTCCATGATAAAGGAGGGCGAGGTATCTTAATTGAACTAGTTTCAATACTTCCATCGGGAACTCATAGAATCTAATAGAACGAGCTTCCAATACCCTCAGCAACCTCAAATGTTCCAAAAACAGCGGTACTGGATATTTATGAAAATAACCGGTACAAAGGAGAGATCGTACCTTTGAATCAGATGCAATTGAGTTGTGCACATCTTTGATGGCAAGTAGAACATTATTACGGATGCACAATCGGCGTTGGCTTTCTATACCTTCTTCCGGTAGAGTATCGCCATGGCAATTTAAGGCATAGAACAACTTGGTCCTGACAGCTTCTTTGTTACACAAGTACCAAAAGGACGAATGAAGGTGAAAATGAAATGTATCATTGTCGCACATGATAACATTTTTGGGAAAAAGGTCATACAAATATGTATAATTCATTGATTCTAAGTAGTAAAAAAATCCTTCAGCACTCAACAAGTTGGTTAGTTGGGGCAGGTTTAGCAAATAATTTTGTGGGAAAGCTCCAATGTAGAGAAAAC